ATGCTTCAACGAAGCACGACCATGCATTAGGAAGCACGACCTTGCATCAGGAAGCACGACCATGCATCAAGTATAAGCATGACCATGCATAAAAAAATAAGCATGGTCATGCTTCAAGTGACTTCATGGCAAGATAAGAAGCAGAATTCATAAAATTTATAGATAATTTTAGAATTACATCAAAGTATATATTTTACTTACTAAAGTGATTAAAATTCTCAAGTTAATTAATTTTAAATTACATGATCATAATGAGAATTTCACAATTTAATACTTAATTGTATAGGTAGCTTGTTAGTCACCAATGTAAATTCACTTTTTGTTCTCTAACCTTTTTTTTTACTTATTTTTGTCCTAAGTATTATTTTTTCCCACTTTAGTCCTTTTCGTTAACTTTGTTATATAACCTAACAAAAACGTCCTAGGTGACGCTGAAGTAGCTTAACGCTGTTTATTTAATCCTGACTTTTTTTATTTAAAAAATTATTAAAAAAAGGTGAAACTTTTTTCTTTCCTCTCTTCTTCCTCTTCCAGCAACTCCCCATCCCTTTCCCTCAACCCACCAGCCTTGTCTCTCCCTTTCATAGCTCTTCTTTCCGTTTCCCATAGCACCCCTCCCCTCTTACAACACTGCATTCCCTCTTGTTCTCCTTTTTCCTCTTTGAAATCTTTCTTCTCTCCTCTCGTTCTCATCTCCACAACGCCCTTTCTCCTTGCTTGTAGCCCTTTTTTTCTCTTGCTTTCAGTCCTTTTGTGGCAAAAGCAATTTTCAGATTTAATTTCCCTTTTAAAATATTGGATATTAAAATATGTTAATTGGAGCATCATTATTTGTTAAAAAGGTAGAATTAAAGTAAAAGAAATATAAACTATAAAGATAGTATCATTATTTTTGAAAGTACTTCACAAATAATTATGAAATGTGTGATCCATCACTATATACATAGCTCATTCTGTGTCACCCAGATACCAAATTGTTGAAAATCTCTAAAGTTACTATTGTTTATTGATTTAAGCAATAATAATTTGCCTGGAAAGATTTCACCATCTATGGGCGCCCTTGTTAAATTGGAAGCTTTGGTTTTAAGAAACAATAGTCTAAAGGGTGAACTACCTTCCACTTCAAAGAATTGCAACAATTTTATGCTATTGGATGTGGGTGAAAATTTGTTCTCAAGTCCAATACCATCATGGATTAGAGAAAGTATGTAGCAACTGATAATCTTGCGCATGAAAAGGAATCACTTCTCTGGAAATCTTTCCATCCATCTCTGTTATTTAAGGCATATTCAATTGTTTGATCTTTCAAGGAATAACTTATCAAAAGGAATTTCGTCATGCTTAACAAATTTTGCAGCATTGTCTAAAAAGAGCATTAACTCAACTGAAATTCAAAGTCATGTATATTAGTACAATAGTACTTATGTAGAAAATTATGGTACTATTACTAAGGATGATTATACACTCAACATAATGTTGATGTGCAAAGGTGTGGAAGATGGATTCAAGGATCCACAGGTGAGACTTAAGAGCATTGATATCTCATGCAATAGTTTAACGAGTGAAATACCAAAAGAGATTGGATATTTGCTTGGATTGGTTTCTTTGGCAAAATTTGTTCTTCTCATTCCTTAATTAACCATCTTGTTGTGTTTGATTTGTCAAACAACTCTCTCTCTCTCTCTGGAGAAATCTCTTTTGGAAGATAGTTGCATACCTTTGATGCCTCTAGTTTTGAAGGAAATCTTAATCTTTGTGGTCCACAACTCAATAAAAGTTATCCTTATGATGAGATACTAATACAGCCTCAAGAATCAACAAAGCATGAAACATATGATATTTCAGTTTTCTATGAAGTATTATACATGAGCATGGGCATAGGATACTTCATGGGTTTCTGGGACTTATAAGGATCAACACTGTTTTGGAGACATTAGAGAAATGCTTACTTGAGGTTCTTGAATAGATTGACAGACTATATGCACAATGGTTGCAGTGAATGTGGCATAGGCTCAAACGCTAAGGGGTATGTAATTCTAATAACTTCTTTCTTTGAAGTTTATCATGTTTTGTTATCAGTTAATGTTACATAAATCAATAATACTTATAGATATTGAAAAGTAGAGTAATTGTTTATTCTTTTATTCATGCCACTAACAATCTGCTGAAATTTTTTTAAAAATATCTTATGCAAACCTCAACTTGATAATTATCATGAACAACATCAATTGTCTTTCCTTTGTTACTATTATTAACTTTTTCGCCAATTATCACTACATCCTTAGAAAAACATAGAGAGCATAAGGTAGATACACTCATAGAAACATTCATACAACAAAATGTTTTATTCAAGGCAAGTGAGAGTAATTTAATTAAAAATATAATTCTACTAGAGAAGACTCTAAAAGAAAATGCTTAAATCCAAAACTTAAGAACATTAGCATTGACAAAGTTTAGGTTCAAGTTCTATATTTTATTCAATGGATCAATTTATAGTTTGTATTTCTTTTACTCTAATTCTACATTTTTAATAAATAATGATACTTCAATTAACAGATTTTAATATCAGATATTTCAAAAGGAAAATTAAATCTGGAAATTACTTTTACCACAAAAGAAGGCTACAAGCAAGGGGAAAAGGAGGTTGCGAAGATGAGAACGAGAGGTTAGAGAGCAAAAAAGAAAATAAAAGGAAACACAGAGTTGCGGGAGGGGAGGGGAGGGGTGCTACGGGAGCGGGAAAGGGAAAGGAGAGCTATGAAAGGGAGAGACAAGGCTGGTGGGTTAAGGGAAAGGGATGGGGAGCTGCAGGAAGAGGAAGAAGAGAGGAAAGAAAAAAGTTTCACCATTTTTTAATAATTTTTTAAATAAAAAAAGTTTACGTAGAATTAAATAAACAACGTTTAACCACTTCAGCACCACATAGGACATCTCTGTTAGGTTATGTAATAGAGTTAACCAAAAGACTAACGTGAGAAGAAAAAATCATACTTTAAGGATGAAAATGAATAAAAAAAAGTTAGAGAATAAAAGTAAATTTTATTTTAAAGTTAAAAGACAAAAAGAGTAATTTTACTTATAATAAAATTTTATCTTCAACTTGTTTTTTAAAGTAACTTTTTTTAAACTTTGAACAAATTTTTAGAAAAGTATGTTGAGACACTTTTTTCAACTAATTTTTACACTTTTAGATCTTGTAAAACTTGACAAATTTCCTTAAAATATTAATTTTTTGATTAAAAATAGGATCCTTTAATCTTTCTAAAAAGTCTTAAAAAATTATTTTCATTTTAATTGAAGCAAGTGTTTTTTATTTTTTTTATTTCACAAAAACTTGTGCAAAAATAAATAATTTATGATCATCCAAATTTTAGTTGAAACATATACTTCCAACTACAGTTTTTTAAGAAAGAAATATTAAATTTTTTCTTATAATATTTTAGAAAACACCCCTTAATAATATAATTTTTTTTTCAAACATAGCACTGTTATAACTTAAGAATTTTTTTTTTCTCAAATAGTTTTACTATATTAAAAAATGTTTTTAATTTCTGTACGAATGGTTTATTTAATGACACTAAAATATAATAAAATACTGATATAGGAAATAAAAAGTAAAATTTTTAGCTCACCTTTGTTGAGAACGAAAATACAGAGAGGGCTTGGAAGTGCGACCTTTTACCATTTTTCCAGAACATGACGTTATTCGGTATGAATTGTCCCAAGTCGCACGACTCTATTATGAATTTTCTTCTCGATAAGGACATTGATGGCGTTAGCACAATGTTTTTCTATCTTAACACCGAATGTTGTCTATTTGTCTACAGTTAGCATTATTGCGATGTTTTAATGATGTTGGTTATTTGTTCTGTAAGCAGCCACTTGGTGGGCTAGATAACTAGATTCCTTATGCTATTTATTGTTTGTTCAAATTTTTTATTCATGGTAAATTTAATCCAGTCTAGCCACACACACACACTTTTTTTTAAGAAAATATTTTAAACCTTAAATATTATTTGCACAATAAATAATTTAATTATTTTATAAAAAATTATTTCAGACATCCATCTCATTTAATAATTGATATTATATATATTTTTAAATTCACTAGATAAACCTTTGGCTACACAAAAATTATCTTAGATATTTTAGTACATTGGCTACGTAAGATTTAAACCTGAAGCCTTTGCAAATTACTTAAAAACCTCGTCATTAACCCAATTTTTGGGTTTCTTAAGATTTGGTGTCCTTCTCGTCTTGCAAAAGTAAAGGTTACATACAGCGTATAAAATAAGTGCGTGTTAATTATTATGGTTAAGTATTTATTGTCACTTTTATGTAAATAATTTCTGTTTAAAATATTTTAAATGATAAAAAACACTCTCACCCAACAAACTTATTTTTATAATTATAATTTATAATTATTATCACTTTTTAAAAAATTATAATTATTTTAATGATTTAAAATGTTACCGTTTACTCCCCCACGCATGGCATTGCATTGTATATGTTTGGACTAATAAACAGCAATAATAATCCTTTTTAATCATTCATATAAATTTCCCTTGGAATAGTGCTTCTAACATTTAAGTTGGGATGGTCACTTTTTATACATATTTAAAAACAATAAAAAATGCTTTTGGGACATTAATTAAAATATTAAAAATACTTTATTTATTTATTTATTCATGTAATACTTGAAAGATAGTATTAATTATTACTTTTTAATGATATTCTTCTATTGATATAAAGTTTTAAATATAAAAAAGACTCACTAATAAAAACAAATTAAAAAATTATTATTAATTTGTATAATTTTTAATTTAAAAATAAATAAAATAAATATGACATTATTAATATATATTTTTTACAATTATTTATTTATTAATTTATAACCAATATTTTAAGAGTACAGCTAAGCAAGACTCTTGTATTTAATCAATAAAAAAAGTTAATCAAGAAAGTTATAAACAAGTAAAGGGACAATTACGGAATTAACGTGAGAATAACTGCACCGTTCTAAATTCCCCTTCTGGTCTTAACCTCATGACATGATTACATTGACACAATCATACATTCATTCTTCTTTCTTCTTTCTCTCTTTGTTCTTCAATGGAACTCTATTCTCTTCAGTGACTTCAAATAAAATCACTCTCAACGTACCACACACAATCCTTCTCTTTCTCTCTTGAAGGTTCAGAACAGTACAGTTCTCGCTACCCCAAATAGCAATGCAGGTAACTGAGGTAACAAGCTATTATTTCTTCTTTTCGACTTCGAATTCAAAATCCCATCTTTTTTCTCATTTCTTCTTCTACGTGGAGCCTTATTTGAATTTCTGTTTCTGGGTCTTTCTCTTTTTTTCTTTTGACTATTATTTCAGACGAGGACGGTTCAAGTCAAGCAGCTTTCAGATCTAGCTGGTGAGAGAGAGATTCATGAGTTCTTCTCCTTTTCTGGAGAAATTGAACATATTCAGATCCTGAGGTGGCTAACTTGTCTACCCAATTTATTTTCTTTCTCCTTTGCTATCCTTTTTATTTTTAATTTTTTCATGATTTGCTGAGAGAAGTTAAATCCGTATTATAGTTGCGTTTTTTGTTTCTGTTTGTTTCAGTGAACATGGGCAATCAAAGACTGCGTTTGTGACATTTAAAGATCCCAAAGCACTTGAAATTGCATTATTGTTATCGGTAATATTTCTATTCTATTTTTATAATTTTGCTAGAGCTGTGGTAAATTATAGAGTTTGATTTGTAGCCATTTTTATAGCAACTATTCTTAGAAAATGGAAAATAAGTTTTCACTTGGTGTAGGATTTGAGTCCCATGTTTTGAAAATGGTACTTAGCAATTTTGGAAAGGATGATTAGACAGTGAAGGGAATGTTTTTAACTTTTTTTTTTTAACTCTTACATTGGGTTTAAGTCAGTTCATTTTGAAACTTAGAAAGTAGCATTATTTTTTATCAAATTATAGTGACTTAGTAGTGTTTGCAGCAGAATTTAAATAGAAGTTTCTGTTTTGAGTTCAATGATGACAGTTTCTTGATTAGAATTAGCATAGTGAGAAGCATAGGCATAGTGTTATGGTTTCTTAGTGGTGCACATCGTGGACTTGAATAACTTTTATTATTGAATAATTCTTCATGTTGCCATGGTAGGTACTTGGTACTGGGATGTGTTGTAGGATTGCAAGTGTTGCTATAGGTGGTTAAGAAAACATCACTTACATGGTAGCGTGGTACTATGGGGTATCAAGGTTCTGAAAGACAACGTCAGATAAAGTTGAACTCTAGAAGGAAACTAATAAGAGTGAAATCCTTAAGAATCAAGATCTCTTTTTTATAGCTACAGTTAAGTAGATTGCTAGCATAGATAAGTTCTCTTGTACTTTCAGTATATTAGGCTTTATGCTCACATTTTAATTAGAAAAGACAGTTTTCTTGCCATTAGACTTCCAAATTACCGAGCCTAAAATTTTTTATTTGGTTGCATTAGAAGGGCTATATTTTCTACAGTGTCTATTATTATATATTTATTATCATTGAGTATCTCTTCCTTTTCTAGCCCGTTGTCTAACATTTCATGGCTTGTTAGACTGAAGCTTTTACTGTCATTTTATCAGGGAGCAACAATAGTAGACCAGATTGTAAGTATAACTCCCGCTGAGAACTATGTACCAAATCGTGAGATGCAGGTTAGTATACTGAGAACTCTTATATGGTATAAACATATTGATTTGAAATTTCGAGCTTATCAAAAGTAATTTATGCAGGAAGTAAGGGTGGTGGAAAATGCTATAAATGTGGCTCCTTCTGAAAATGTCTCATTAAATATTGAGGTAAGAATCAAAATCCTGATTTAAGATTTAGCATGATTGTTTTTTCCTAATAGCTGTGCTCTATAGGCATTTGAAGTTGGCTAAAATGGTATTGATCTTGTTTATATTTTCAATGTTTTATTATACCAAGGGCATTGTTGTTCAATTTGACTGTGTTTTGAATGTACCGGATTACTTTGACATTGCAATTCTGACAGAACAACTGTTTGAGAAGAAAGTCCTAATCATTACTTTTTTTAAGCATGCCAATGACAATCTAACTTTGTTTAGGGCTTCTTGAATTGTATCATTGCATTACTTGCGTACAATCTTCAGTAGTTCATCCTGTTTATTTTGTAGCTAGGCAATAATTACTAGAAGTCTAGAATTCTTCACGTTTTTTTTGTCTAATTGATCTTATGGTATACTGTACTACATCCCTTTCAGGAGGAGAAAAACAACCATACCAATGGAAAAATGTACCTTAGTAGAGCACAAGATGTGGTTACAAGTATGCTGGCAAAAGGTTCAGCAATAAGGCAAGATGCTGTGAACAAAGCTAAAGCATTTGATGAAAAGCATCAGTTGACTGCTAACGCTTCTGCAAAGGTCATTTCATTTGACAAGCGAGTTGGACTGACAGAGAAATTGACAGTTGGCATTTCTGTAGTGAATCAGAAAGTGAAGAATGTGGATCAGAGGCTTCATGTTTCTGATAAAACAATGGCAGCAATATTTGCAGCTGAGAGGAAGTTGAATGATACTGGATCAGCTGTCAAAACTAGCAGGTATGGAATGGTTGAATTGATACATGATCTCTTTTTGTGCCCCTGGATTTCTATATATGGAAAGCATTGTGATTTTGTAGTAGGACCCAACAGGGAAATACAAAATAGTAAAGGAAAGAAATTTAGATGTTTCAATAGTTCCTACCTGGATGAACTGTTGGTTGGAGATAAATAAAATATATATAATATGCACGATACTTGCAACTTAATTTGACCATTGATTGATTATTATTTGTATGTTGATGAAAAGATACATATGTTAACAACTTGCCCTTGTCGCGTGCAGATACGTGACTGCCGGAACAGCATGGTTAAATGGTGCTTTTAGCAAGGTGGCAAAGGCTGGACATGTTGCTAGTACTAAAACTAGAGAAAAATTCCATACGGCTGTTTCAAACTTGACGGCAAAGGTTGGATTTGGATGCATTTGCAATGTCTGTCTGAAAGATGGAAAAAAATTAATTCTTTTGTTAAGCAAAGCGTATATTGAGTGGAATAGAAAATTGTATTATTGTGTGTGAGAGTTTATATATTGGTTTGAAGAGGAAGGGAGAGGAGCTAGTTTGAATTCCTACCTTAAATACTTGATTGTCAAGTCTGATTGATTGAATCCTGTGTGATAACATGGTTTATTCATTGATGCAGGAACCTTCAGTAGCTGCATAGGTCAAAATTTTGGTAATCAGAGTAACTTCATCAGGTCTTTCAGATCATGTGTGTCAAGCAAAATGGTCTTCAGAGCATGCCCTGCTTTCTTCCTGTCCTCCAACAGTTAGATGAATGTGGCAAGTATGGTGATTCAATTCAATCCAATTTTTGTATTCTTTTGTCGCTGGCATTTTAGTTGTTGCTTCTATGTAATCTAGCATGGGTAATTTTGGCTTCTTTTTTTTTTTTTCTCTTTTTATGAAAAGGAAATTATAGGTGTGGTGCAACTTTATTTCTTATGTCAAAGTTCAAAAAATTAGCTGTGCATGTAAGACTTAACATCTTGTTCTGTCATCAAGGCTTCATTCAAAAATTTGTGATAAGTTATAATCTTGCAGACTACAGAATTTTATTTCCTTGCCGATGCAATTGATAAAAATGGTAAATAATTATGTTGCATTGGCTCAGTTCGTTTATCTGTGTTTCAAATTTCAAAAGGTTACATGGGTGAAAAATAACAAGTTCAGTCCACAATGTACTTTTGACCATGCTCTAAACACAATCATTAGGACCCTCATGCGAAATAATAGATTAGTGCACTCCGCTTTTGACCAATGTGATGGCTATCGTGTCGGGTAATCAAAAGGGTACTAAACATAAACAGACAAAATTTTGAATAATATAGTTTTAAATTATTAATTTATCTTTGAATTTGTATAGTCATTAATTGTTGTTTCACGTGCTTGCTGGGGCCCCTTTTTTCTTTTTGGTCAATGGTCCTCTATCATTATCTCTAATAAATTATTTCTTTAATTAAACGTCGCATTTGGATGCTCTAAAGTGTCTATATTCTGTAAAATAAAAATTCTTAAGCACTGTCTCTAAGATTGACTGAGCAAAATTAATGTGAGGTTTTCTCCTACCTACCTAACAACTCAGCTCAAACTGATGAGGACTGGTATTCTGTTTTGTTCGGAGTTCCAAAATAAGAGATGTTTTGTCAGCTTTTCTTCTCCCTTCCGTCCATTCTTTTTCCTTACTCCTAAAATCCTTCTCTTTCTGCCCTTTCTCTGTCTGTGCAAACTTTTCGAATCTCTTAAATAAAGTCTAAAGATACATGCACTGTAACCCTAAACCATAAATGTCCACAGTATTTATATTAGGATTTAGGGTGAGTCAATTACCAACTCACAGGATTATCAATATTTATATTTAGATTCAAAAGGAAGGACGAGGTCATTATAACAAGCACAAAGTAAAGAAAATAAAGCAAAGTAATAAAAAGGAGTAAAATTTAAGAATTTGAGAGTTAGAAGATAGAATCTTCCCAAAACCTCATTTCAAGCTGTCAAATTCTTTGAACTCAAGTTCTAACATACAATTAAAAATCTAGTCAAATTCACTATATTAGGCTATTTTAAATCCATAATAATTAGCTCATTTCTTTCACATTAAGAATCATAATTCATTAGGTTTTTTTAATTAGAATAAACTAGATTTAAGAGTTTATAGGATGACATAATCATCAATTGTTATTTCTAGAAAATCAACAACTATGATGAATTACTCCAAGATCCAATCCACTAGTTAATTTTTCAATTATTAAGTAAATTTGACATCAGTCAATGGTTAATCAATCTATAAAAACATTAAAAATAGAAGCAAACACTTAATTGAAAGAAATAAAGTTGAATTAAAATGTAAGAATTTAATATACAAGAAGTTCATATATTCATCATCCCCTAACCTAAAAACCTAATTCCCCATGATAGAAGAAAAGAAAATCATAAGAAAAAGAGAAAAGAAAAATCATTAGGATTTAATAAGTCTGCAACTTAATTCCTTAAATTTGAATATCCACCGACCCTAATGTTTGATAGATAGAATGCTGGAGAAAAGAATCAAAATTCTCCACTCCATGAAACTGGAAAAGTAAAAAAAAAAAAAACACTAAAAGTGGTGTTTCCAGTCTTGATAACGCTGGAGGGACAAAGATTGGCCTTTCTCCAAGAATAAGTGTGCCTGACACTGAAACCACGTTATTGCTACACACAACCATAATATACTTTTGTAACAATTTTCTTAGTTTCAAGTTCAGTTCTCTTGTCTAAAATTGAACTTAAAAAATTTTCATTGTTCCCTGGAAGGACAAAATAATCTAGAGTTAATACAAATTAGACAAAAATCTATCGCAAAAGCACCAAAAGAAATTTCATTTGCAATGATAGATGACATCAAATTTACTTATTTTCCTGAAAATTGTGCTCATACAGGGTAAAATAATGCAATTTATTACCTTAATTCACATAGTTATGTGTCATGTTTAACACTTATCAATGTACTTCCGATTCGATGCGGTTCAGGAATTAAAAGATACAAATCGTAGGGAAATATACGTTTTGTCCAAAATTGCTGTCGGAATCGCATGAATCACAAGAATCAGTGTTGAATTGTGACTTTTGTGGGCGGCACATCACACAACTATTGGGTCAGGTCAATGTAAATCGGTTCACTAAAAATCTTTTTAAAAAAACCCTTTTAAAAATTTTTTATGCAAAATTTGAGGTTTCGCTTAGTACTCCCTTGTGAGACCCACTGTTATATACTCAAAGATTTATGGTAGTTTCTTAATCTTTTTGCTTGTTTGCTGTTTAGGGAGAATGAAAGTATATCCATATAAGTTGTTAGCGAAAAAATTGTAAGTATTGTTCTCATACTTGTTGGAATAGAGTTGTAATGATGATACATCATCTATACGACTGTTTGAAGCTATACATAGCTGATTTATATAGTTACTTTTTTCTATATAAGTGTGGCTTATTTGAAAGTATATATGAATAATTTATGCGTTTACAACACTTTTTTTATGTTTTTGTGGCTATTGTAACTTGAATCTTTGTAATATATTTCATTTTATTAGTTATACAATGAAGTATAATTGTCATATATGCGCATCAACTTTATCAGTTTTTTCAACAATATGTGCATCAATACATGAATTCGAGGCCTTACACAACAGCCAACATGGAAAATAATATTTCAGATTTTATGTTGTTGGACTTAGAAGATGGACTGCGGGGCTCCTCAAAATGCTTTTACTCCGTTGAAAGTGGAAGTATCAACCGTGTGTAATGTGTATGCTAATGAATGGATTCAACTGATAGAAGGCAAAGTTAGCGACTAAAGATAATTTTCAATGTGGTGATAAAACGATTGGATTCAAAATTGGAATAAAATAGTTCTAAAACAATGTTAGGTTTTCCATAAAAAAAAAATTGTTAGTTTTACTTTAACTATCTATTGGCTTTTTCATTTTTATTCTTATTTCTTCTTGTGTTCTTGATTTAGTGTGCCCTCCAATAAATATATTGTCATTACATTCACATTCTCTGTATAAAATGATAATAAACGCATTGTAGTTGCATAGTTTCTAATAAAACAAGCAATGATGCATGTGCACTTTAGTTTCAACCACAAGATAAAGATGGGTACTTGAATATAAATTAAGAGTTAGACTCATATATATAAGAGTTTATCTCAAATTAGGTGAGGACTAAGTTTTCAATTTTTTTTTATTTCGTAAGAAAATGAAAAGTTCAGTTGAGAAGGTGCCTTCCAATTGTATGCAGTACTGATAGGCCCCTAATTTAAGGAAGAAATATATAGTAAAGCAATAAATAAATAATAGAGTGAAGTTGGAGGAGCATGTGGAGTGCATGTGTAAGCAATCAATCTCTTAAAATAAAATAAAATCTCCAGTGAAGTTATGGCTTTAGTGGACCTTCTAAAATGTCAAGATGATGTGCTTTTTAAGATCAATTTTAGGTACTATTAACATCTTAAAACTAAATTATATGAATATTTACAACAGAAAATGTCATAATTAATTTTCCCACAATTTCATGTATCAATATGGGCTACCAAAAAACAAAAATATACCAATCTGGACCTAAAGAATGCCAATTTTGTGGTAATTTCTAGAAAGAAAATAGTTTGGTATCTTTCTTCTGTTCAACAATGTCAATGACATTTCTTGAATAAGGAGTTATGATTTGAGACTATGGCGCAATTTAAGTAAAATTTTAAAGAATTTTTTATAAGAAAAAATAAATATAAAATGAATATTTTTATTTATAAATTAAAAAGAACTTATTTCCTTAAATTTTAGAAAAGTTAAATTAAATAATTTAAAAAAAATTAAGAAACATAAATTAATTTTAATTTATAATAAAAATGGATTCATTTTATTATTTAATATTTTATTCTATAACAGGTAGTTCTTAGTAAATTTGTTCAAACCATGACCAGTTCTTTCTATCAAGGAAACATGGACAGTTTGAAATAACAGTTATATTCGTGTTGCATCCGTGTCAAATATATGTATCCTTGTCAGATTTTTTATTTTTATTTTTGAATTTGATATCAATATAAATGAAAATATCATAATATTAAAATAAAATATTTTATTTTGTCTATTATATTCAATCTTATAATATATTGATTTTATCTTTTAATTTAATATTTTTGCTTGACGTTAATTTTATACATTCTATTATACTAATTTTTAAAATTCCCTAAAATATTTTTTTTTTTAAAAAAACTTGTATTTGTGTGAATGTGTCATGCTATGTTTGCGTGCAGTATTGTATCTGTAGTTTCTGGGATGTCATTTTGTTGCGGAATTGCCCATTCTCTCCAATTTTTTCTTATTATTATTATTATTATTATTATTATTATTATTATTATTATTATTATTATTATTATGTCAAAGCCGAGTGCTCTCCATGAAATGAAGAATATGTTTGTCATACCCATTTAAAGTTACATACAAGAACTCAGCAAAATTATATGCTCACATTCCCTATTTAAAATATATTGTTGATTAGGAGCAAAGGTAAATGAGAAGCACGTCAACAGAAAGCATGTTTTGGGAGCAAAACAATAGGAAATAATAAGGCTCATTAGAAGGCATTTTTCTTATAGTGATAACTATGGGCTAAATAATATTTTAAAAGGATTAATGTGCTTAATGAACAAAACAATGCTTTGGAACAGAAAGCAAGACAATGAACATAAATTTTAATTAAACTTTTATGGCTAGTTGACTTTAAAACTTCAAAAGACCTAAATTTATTGTCTTGTAGACTAACCCATATGACTTTCTCATATGGCATGCTTTTGAACCCTTTTGTGAGCTCCTAGAAAACGCCTTCTCCCATTTTCACATTTAGTGAATTTTTGTCTTGTGACTCAAAAGTGTATGTAAAAATTTGTAGGGCAAAAGGAATGCCAAAGACAATGACAAATCTTGACAATCTTTTTTGGAGATATACTAAATATAATTAAATTGATTTAATTAAAATTTATATTAATCGTGTATAATTTTATAAAAAAATTTAAAAAATGCAAGGCCAAATAATTAAAATTTAATTGATAATTAGATGGTATTTTTTAACTTTTTTTTAATTAATTAGGGTTTACAGAAAGAATATTTAGGATGTAAGAAAAACAATACACATCCCAAACAAGGAGCTCAAGCTAGATGTTGGCAACATCAAATTGGAAAGTGCATGATCCAAGTCAAGCAAGTAACCCAAGAAAGTATTACACAGTTATTGTGTATTTTCACTTCTCGAGTTTTGAAGTGGAGGGAAGGAAAAGATAAATTTTGTATTTTAAATAAATATTTTTAAAATATAAATATAAATTAATATTTATATAAATTTAATTAATAGTGCATTTATCATCATAAATGATATATAATTATTTTAATTTAAAATTAAAAATATGGTCTTTCTCTTTCTCTCTAAAATCTTCTTCCAAAAATAGCTTAAAGCTTTGTTTAGATGTCATTCTAAGAAGGGGAGGAAAGGAGAAGGGAAGGTTTGTTTATTATTAACCTTTATTTGGGAGTTAATTAAAAACGAGAAGAAAGGTTAGGTATTTTTCTAAGTCATCTTAGCTTTATTTTCTTGAGCTCTTTTGATTCGAGTTTTTCTAAAATAAAATGACCAATTTATCCTTTTTATTATTAACTTTTATTTGAGTTCTCTCAATCTCTCTCTCCTTCTTGTCTCCCTTTTTTCTCTCCCTCTCTAGATGTTTATGTGTTCTCTTATACTAGATTATACAATTGGTGTTTCAAATGTTTTCATGGAATAACTCCATAATTAAAATACATTTGATTCAGTTTACCATTTTTCTCTTCAATTTGATTATTAAATTAATAAAATGGTAAAAAAATTAAATTTTTAAAAAAAGTGATGTGGTTTTTAAAGAATAGAATTGCAAGAAAAAAAATATTTTTTTAAAAAAAATGCTAGTTTTTAGAATGAGAAATTTTTAAAAAATTATAAAAATAGAAATATTAATTTTTAGAGAGATAAAAATATTTAATTTTATATTTTTAAAAAAATAAAAAAAGACATATATAATTAAAAATATAAAATAGTAATAACATTATTTTCTTATTATCCTTTCCTCTTAATATTAAACATCCAAAATAAAATAGGAATTTAACCTCCTTCACCCTCCTTTCTCTTTTCCTCCCTTACCCTTCAAAATTTTTCATTCATTCTTCTTCCAAACTTACAAACAAAGTCTAAGACTCTCTTCTTTTGATGATAGATGAAAAAAAGAAATAAATCATGAAAAAAGATTGTTCATAGACAATTTAAAATCCTTGTCATCTCTTCAAAAATTCATGTCTTGTGTATTCTTTATCATGAAAATCATAAGGGAGACATTTCTCACACTTTTCTTTACCAAGAAAACATAATTTTAAAAGTTATAAAATTATATACTAAAATAATGTAAAAATAATTTACTTGTTTAGAATAACTTTGATTACAAAGGAAGTAAAATCTCCCTTACAATGGCAATATACAATGCGCGCTTGACATGTTATAATGTTTATATTATCCTAATATTAGATAATACCATGAAATTTAAAATTTGAAAAATAAATAGGATATTTCTTTGGTACCCTTCTAATTTGAGGGGTTAAGGAAACCCTATCTTATTTTATCATTTAAAATTTACAGTTAAGGTCCTTAATTAAAATTAAATTCCCAAACAATCACCTCCTTGCTTCTTTGATTCTAAGCATTATGGACGAACACCAAGAGCAACAAGAACTTCAACTTAACACTTCCAACACTGATCCTTTTCTCCTCAACTACATAACTTATTATATCCAAATAACTTTAGAGTTTCTTGTCATGTGATTTCCCTTCCTATCTTGAGATCTTTACACCTATTGCATCGAATCACTCTCCAATCACATTCACTTCATCAACCCAAGGCCTCAAAACGACATCATTGATGAGGTAAATGACAGTTAAGATAACGATGACACATATTCTCTTGGGAATTGGAAAGATGGGGGCCAAAAGTGAATGCTACTAATGTAGAGAGTCCAAATTTAAGAATGTCCATGTTGAATGATAGGTATGTTGAAAACAAACATAAGCCTAATGATAACAATAATAATAGCAACAATGATGGTATTAATGTTGTGGTGGCTGATTCAAATGCTTTTAAAGTGACTAAGGTTGTTGATGAAAAACCTACTTTGCCTAAGAAGCAAAAAGAGTACATTCAATTCATAAATGTGAGGTGTACCCTCTTGCTCTTGGTATTACATCTACATCTTCCTCTTTGACTGTGACTTTCAAATCTTCATTGGTCATTGCCTATTCAAAAGCTCTTCAATTACCAATCCTTTAACCTTTATAAGTTCTATAACAAAGCTCTATTCTTCTATATTTTTCAATTTCACATTGTGTCGACCTTTTTTTACCATTTTTAGGACTTTAAGCCTGCCATGAGTGCTACCATAGCATTCTTCTACAACATAGTCCAACAATCTTCATCTTATTTTCACAAAGTTTCTTTGTGACAAGAAAATAATATTCCACATGATATGAGAAGAGAAAACGACATTGTAAAGGTTAAGGTCTACCATAGTTAGTCGGATGATTGTAAAGAAGGGAATTGTGAAAAATTTAAGGATATGTAAGGGCTATATGCAAACTTTAATAAAAAAAAGAATAAAATGTAAAAAATTATCATTTAAAATATTTAAATAATAATTTGATATTAATAACTCAGTAGCCTATTATGTACTAGCACCTAACAAAGAGAACTAAATCCCCTCAAATTGTAGAGGTACAAAGACCAATGTCCATTTAAATATGCACTATTTTCACATGACATTATTGATCTAAGAGATAAGACTTTTATCTTATCATATGGTTATATTGTTGTGGATATACATTTTTCATATAATTAATATCTTCATCATTGCATATCTTCAAAATAGAATATTGTTGACCACTTCCATCAATTATTGTCAACTTAAAAATAACAAAGTTATTAGAAAATTTACATAGATCTTTTTTTTAATAGCTCCAAAATTTATGCACAATTTTATTTTAATATTTTTTTTATTTCTTTCAAAAGTGGTAGTCTCCTATCTTTTAAATATACAATATTCACATTTTCACTTATAATGTATTCTTAAAAAATTAAAAGTCAAATTAAATTTAATTAATATCATACATATTTAACATAGACTCTACATGCACATTATGTTTGTCAATATTATGTATTAAAAACA